CCCCCATCTCTGTCCCCGAGATTGGCTCTGCACCGGTGACCCACGATGGAATTTACCTTACATTCGATTACCCTGTTGCTATTTTTGAATATCTTCCAATGTGGAAGATACCTTGCAGCAACTGTAATTGGTGCTCAACATATTTTTAGATGCAAGAGTATATTTGGTCACCCATTCTCACTGTCGATAAACTTTCTGCTGTAATGAGAATTTTTTTCAAAAGATCGTAAACAAGATGTTTTCGCTCTCTTGCCAATTTGAAATAATACACGCGCATAGAAAAAAATGTGAAATTGTTCACGATAAAAAAATGTCATTGTAATTTAACAAAAATGTACGTGAATTGTATGGCTGCAGATGCTGAGTCTCATACAGACAGATGAAGAACATGGGGAGGACCATAAAGGCCTGCCCTTCGACCTGACTGAGAGCACTACCAGCCCAGACCTTCCACAATCCCACCACCTGCTTTACTGCCTGCACCGTGATATACACAAATTTACGAGCTTTCTTCGTGTTCTTCAGTGCAGGATGGACACTTTTCAAGGTTGTTCGCTGACTTAAGAGCTAATGTGCCAAATTAAATTAACATTTAACCGCATGCAAATGTACGTAATGGTTTATGAAAACTAAAGCCTTGACAATCAAGTATAAGGATGCTTCTGCGATGACTGACGTTGATACATTTTTACGGCCTAATTTCGATTGCAATAAATGGAATGTGATACTATCGAGGACTATTGTGACACTATTGGCACATTCATTATCAACAGCCATTTTCAATTCAGTTGGATGAAGGCCTCACTACATCACCATTCTTAATGGCCTTGTGATGCCAGAATATCCATCGGCCTGCACATGGACTGATCTCACCACCTCCATGGTGCTCGCACTCTTGGGCATTCCCTCTTTGGGCTGTCATTCCGTCACCAGTCGTGTTCATTATCCCATATCACAATATGTCCTGCCTAAGCTCACTTTTCTTAGCAGTCAATTTGATTTCTATCATTTTAGTTTGTTCTCAGATTCATATTTCCCTTTCTGTCTCGGTGTAATATTTAAATTGCATCTCTCTTTACATATTTTGTACTTTAAGTTTTTATTGATTCCTTCGTCAGTATATCCGTTTTCGTTCCACGTGTTCTAGTAAGCACAAACTCTGCTCCCTGAATTGTAGTTGAGTTATTATGACCACAAGTACAGCTGCCATATCAAATATTACAATAATTACGCAACAAAAAATTGCAAAAGCAATAAACAATTACAGATGGCCACCTGAGGCGCGTGCTCCCGGGGCGCGCTCCCAGCAGCGGCTGGCAGGGGTCGTTTGTGAGGGGGAGTCGACGGAGGGAGCCGATGGAGCCGACGGGGCTGGGTGGGCCGGCAGAGCCGGGTGGGCCGACGGAGCCGATGGAGCCGGGTGGGCCGACGGGGCCGACGGAGCCGATGGAGCCGAAGGAGCCGGGGGGGGAGGCCGTGATGAAAAAAAAAGATGATCCACCTGAGGCGCGCGCTCCCAGCGGCTGGCGGGGCCGTTTGTGGTGGGCGAGAGGCGCGAGCAGAGGGGGCTGACACTGAACTCACTCGAACTCACTCACTCATCATACACTGACGCACTCATCTTACACTGACTTACGCACACATCATACACTCACTCACACTACCACTGACTCACTCACACATCACACACTGAGTGTCATGCTGCCAGCTATGGCTGCAAGTTTGGTCGTACGTGTTATGTATATTGTTGATTGTTAAAATTGAATCACACTTCCTATGATTACTGTTATTACATTGTTTTTATAGCTTTATTTTGGTGATTCGAAAACATATGGTTAATCTAAATTGCACCACATTGGGATTTTTGCACACAGCGTTTTTAATACTTTTTTTTATTTGCTGGTTTATTCCAGTATGTTTCTGTTACGCGTCGTCGCTTTAAGATTTTCTGTCTTCATATTTTTTTGTTGCGGTTGCACCCGACTTAAGAGCCGCATGGCTCACAGGGCTATCTTACCTATAAACGTCACTTTTTGTCTGTCTGTCCGTCTGTCTGTCTGTCTGTCCGTCTGTCTGTCTGTCTGTCTGTCCGTCTGCGTACGCTCGCTTCCGGGGGATGTAGCTCTCGGACCGTGGGTTTCGCCGAGATTAAATTTTGCAGGTGGGCACGCCCCCGGCCCCGCGGTAAACTTAGGCATTTCCGATTTTTCGTCTCTAAACTTTAAATCGGACCGATTATCGATTTAGTGCGATTTCTCTTTATTTATTTATTTACTATTGCCGACTGGCATGCGGGAAGGCGGTTGCCCCTGGCAACGGGCGGTTGGCAGCAACGCCGTCGCTGCGGGGTGGACGCCATTTTTTATTCCCGTTAAAAATATGCGCACGCATTAACACGCGACGCTGAGGCAAATTCATCAAAGTTTCACGTCCTCTTCACTCCCCCCCCACCCCAATGTGTGCAATTACTATCATAGGGTCGGTAGATAATAAAATTATAGCGATTAGACAGTATTATTGTAGCGCGGGGGGGGGGGGGGGGTAACGGCCACAGCACCCAGCCTCGGCCGGGTGGGCAATCTAGGCGAGGCCGGAGGCTCTGCACGGTACTAGGCCTCGACACCTCACCCGTGTCAGGCAACGACTTTGTGGTATAAACTCGATATACCCAGCGTTGCTCGGGGGGAAAATACATTTAAAATCTTCTGAAAACTTTAAAACATAACATACCAATGAAAATACAACTGTGTAATTTAAAATGTAAAACCGACCGCGCCAAGAATCGATTCTCTGAATTGCGCAAAGGAATCGAAGGTTGTAGATTCATTTAGAATCGCCCCGTTTAATATAAGTTGGTTATAGAGTCGATATAAACTGCTACGAATGGGAAATATCCGGCGTTGACCGGGGCAAAAATATAATGGTGAGGGTGTGATTGGTGAGGATGAGTAGTGAGGGTATGATTGGTGAGGATGAGTAGTGAGGGTGAGTGGTGAGGGTGAGTGGCGGTTGTGAGTGGCGATTGTGAATGGTGATTAGTGAGTGGTGAGTTGTGAGGGTGAGCGGTGATTGGTGAGGGTGTGATTGGTGAGGATGAGTGGTGAATAGTGAGGGTAAGTGGTGAGGGTGAGTGGCGGTTGTGAGTGGTGATTAGTGAGGGGTGAGTGGTGAGCGTTAGTGGTGAGTGGTGAGGGTGAGCAGTGAGGGTGATTGGTGAGGGTGTGATTGGTGAGGATGAGTGGTGAGGGAGTGGTGAGCGGTGAGGGTGAGTGGTTGTTGTGAGGGTGAGTGTGAGGGTGAGTGGTGAGGGGTGAGAGATTGGTTAGTGGTGAGGGTGAGTGGTGAGGGTGAGTGGTAAGGTTGAGTGGTGAAGGTTAGTGGAGAGAGGTGAGTGGTGAGTGGTGATTGGTCAGTGGTGATTGGTGAGGATGAGTGGTGAGTAGTGAGGTTGAGTGGTGAGGGTGAGTGGTGAGGGAGATTGGTGAGGGTTAGTGGTGAGGGTGAGGGTGGGTGGTGAGAGTGAATGGTGAGAATGAGTGGTGAGGGTGAGTGGTTAGGGTGAGGGGTGAGGGTGAGTTGCGGTTGTGAGTGGTGATTAGTGAGTGGGGAGGGTGAGTGGTGAGGGTGAGTGGTGAGCGTGAGTGGTGAGTGGTGAGGGTAAGTGGAGAATGGTGAGGGTGAGTGGTGATTGGTTAGGATGAGTGGTGAGGGTGAGTGGTGAGGGTGAGTCGTGAGGCTGAGTGGTGAGGCTGAGTGGTGAGTTGAATGGTGAGAGTGAGTGGTGAGGGAGAGTGGTGAGGATTAGTGGTGAGGGTGAGTGGTGAGTGGTGAGGGTGAGTGGTGATTAGTGAGT